CAACTATCCGTTGGCGAAGCTGCAGGTGGCTGTCGTTTTCGAAGTTGCTTGAGATGGTAAAAAAAACTGAGATATTACTCATCCAGTGAACGCACCCTTGTCTGCTGCGTGTCCATCCAAATAATTTACCTCAGAATTATTTAGGTGAAGTGTTTGAAGGTTAAAAAGTAAGCCCTTGCATTGCACCGTGCGGCACATCTTCAACTTTCAAATTTTGTACTTTCAGCTTCTGGTTCCAGGTTCCAATTTAGTTCATTCCACAATTAAGCAAAATTGAAAATTTGGCACTTCGTCTTATCATATGGAACTGATGACTCAAATTGATCCTGGGACTAGCTTCTGAACTGCATCTCAGATTGACTCAATAATCAATCAAAAACGATGCAAACCAGAAGCCATGTTTTTAGAAGTACAACTTACCAAACAGACTGGGAGGATGGTTTGGCTAATTTTCTAACTTTTCTATATTTTGACTGTGATGATTCCCCCGCAAGAATTCATGCTGAGAGTGTGTAATTTATGAACGAAACAACACACATATAATTTCTTTTGAAACTGCCTGATTGGCCCCACTTTATACTAAGTACGGGCACTCACGTCCATTGTGCGTTTTCGGTGTCTAATCATCAAACGAGCAGCCAATCTAGCTTTCCAACACTCTCGGCTTTGTTTTCGACAACAAATCGCTCAAATTTGTTCTTACAGAAATTCTTTACGAGGTTCCAAAAAACTGCAACTGCTTGCGGATCAGGTCACCCAAAGGAATAGTTCAACTCCGAGTGGTGGTGCGCCGGAAACAGGTTACGCAAATAACGGCTATGTAGTTGGCGATTCTTATTCATACGACAATGCAGAGAGTGTTGACGGTGAATGCGAAACAATTCGTAAGTTCAGAGACTTAACGCCCTTATTACCGTTATAAAATAATCGGCGTGCATTTTTATAAGCATATGTTTCAATTTGGTTTTTTAGATGCTTATTCCTGATGTGAAATTAGAAGTTGCGTTATTGCAGATCCCCTAAAATTTCAGCTCCTTAGTTTTTTCTGATTTCTGAATTGAAAATCAGTGACAGAGTTCAGACGCTCTTCAACTCACACACACATTTACACACGGGCAACTTCTTGATTGTACAAGATTCAAAAACACATAAAAACATAAAGGAGTGCTGCACACAAAGAATAGGAAACTCTGAATGTGAGCAACGGATGGACGGAAAAAGCACAATTTTTCATCATATAAAAATGACTATACCTTAAATAAAATTGTCTTGGACAATTGCAATTGCGCTTGAAACTGTGGTCTTGGATATTGGGCTAAATCCCAAAATCTGTGAGGGAAAGGGCAGAAAAATGTGAGTATGCAGGGCATGAAAATTATATTTTTTTGCAAAATTTGTCAAGCTTTTGGTTTTTTTTAAGTTAATAAGTCGTATATTGTCATTTTCATGAAAGGATAATTATTATGATTAATTAACGTCGCAAGACCGTGCACTTTCTAATTACTGCCAGCCGCGGTATTTCGTTGGTTGGACGTCGATTTCAGAATACACATGTATTTCGCATGCCTTTGACGGTATTTGCAGTCAAGTGCTGAAAAACAACACATAGATATTTTCCAATAGATAAGCAGAAATGCGTTATGTTTAAAATCGTTGTACTTTTCTCGCAAAGGCTGATTTTTGTGAGAAGCGGACAGATTCACCTTTCGATAGCAAAAATGAGCTCTCTCTTTTTTCTCACTTAGAATTGTAAATTTGAAGAGTGTCTTGCTCAAACCTACGTTGAACCTACGTTAGTCTGTTCTCGTACATCACTGGTGTAACTGAATAGCAAAAATAGTAATGATTGTTTAGCCCTGGAACAAGTGATACTGTCGGTGAATCGTGTCGCCAAGCATCTAGAGAAGAGAGAAGGACGTGAGGAGGAATCGAAGTTGTTGCGCGATTTTTTTATGCAAC